AGGGGTCAGCGTCCAAGTCGCCAACCTGCACCGCCTGTTTTGGACGCACGGCGAGGACGGCATGCAGCGCTTGTTTGAGCTGACAAAAGAACATCGCTGCGTGGACCCGTGGCTGAGCCACGTGCTCTTGCAAGCCCGGTATGGGCGGCTGTCCCAAGAGGTGTGGTGCTTCCTACACGGCTATCCCACGCTGCACGCAGGCAGTTGGTGCCCGAACAGCGGCCAGTGCGACTGCAAGCAGGACCGGTGCAACGGACTGGCCGCAGCGTGGCAGCGGGAGATCCAATCCGGCACCCCACGCTCGTGGGACGTCCGCGTGAGGGAGGAGTGTGACGTGTGCGCCACCGAGCGAGAGCGCCGGCGCATCGTCGCTGGCTCTGCACGTGAGACGCCTGATCCACAGGCAGCTAAGTTTCTAGAAGGACCTTTCGTGCACGGCTTCAACGCGGCCAAGTATGTAGCTGCACTGCTGCGAGCCCGATGGGTGGCCCACGAGCGGCAACACGTGCTCCTTTGGGTTGTGGCGCAGGATACACCTCTGTTTCAGCTCGAGCCGGAAGCTGCGATCGGGGAGCTGCAAGCTCGCAAAGAAAACTGGCTGCAGCGCCACGACCAGGCCACTGGCGGCATCATGGGCTTGCTGCCTTTGCTTCCCAGCATGCCGGTTCGCGTCACGCAGACTCTGCCCGAGCTGCGGCCACTGCGCTTGTTCAAAAACAGTCGCGCGAAGCTGTTGAACTGGTGCTTGCAGGATGCGGATGCTGCGGCGGTGCAGGCGACTACCGCAACCGAAGTCGTTCTGCAAAGCATGCCGACATGTCTCTTGATACAAGTCGAGGGTGCCACTTGGAAACAGCTACCGAGCCTCCCCGCCGGGGTCGCATGCATCCGGCCAGTGCAGCAGCACTGGAAGGTCGCTGCGACCGGCAGTGCCACCGTTCTGCGAAGAGGCTTCCCAGTGGCTTGTGACTATGCCGGCACAGCGCACTCCTTCATGGGAGCCACACTGCCCGCCTGCACATTAGATCTTGGGTTCTGGGACAGCACGCCCTCGCGAGACGCGCAGCTCAGCGCCTACATGTGTTTGTCTCGCGTGAAGCGCGCCGAGGACTTGTGCGTGAGCCGGCCATTTGGGCCCAACCTCTTGGGCCAAGGCGATCTCACAGGCCCGCGCACGCTGCTCGAAACGCACCGGCAGACCATTACCTTGGAAGAAGCCAAGGTGAGGTTCCAGCAGGAAGCCAAGCAACGCAGCCGGCACCCGGAAGTGCTGCTGAGCTGTCGCCTCTGCAGCGTAGCGCGCGCAGGTCAGGAGTCGCTCAAGCCCCTGACCGCTTTCTTGGCGAACGAAGACGCCGCGTGCGCGGCGCAGCTCCTTCGTGCGTTTCTTTCTGAGAATCTCATCTAAGTTGAAGTCTGCCAGTGTGCGCTTTTGGCCTTTTTTGGCGGCATCGCCGCACTTGGAGCAGGCGAGAGGCTTGGTGCTGCATATCTTGCACAAACCTGGCTGTGTCATTGGCACTCCTTGGCACCATGCGCACAAAGTATCACCGCACTCTGCTTGGCGGGACTGGCCGGCCGGGCACTTTGCGCGACACGCGCGGCACAAGGCAGCCAAGTGCAAGCAGTGTGGTCACTGGAAGTCTCGAAGCCACGTGACCGGGCTCGACTCAGAAGCCAACGAAGGGATCTGCAGAACCTGTGCCACGCGCAATGCCAAGCCGCCGGCACAGCCGCCGGCCAAGGCGTGCCAGCAATGCGGCAACGCCTTGCCCAAATACGCAACGCCCGGCACATGGTGCGACAGCTGCGCCTTCCCGCCGTGCCAGGGCGGGTGCGGACGCGCGCGCCCGCGAAAAAGTGTCTACCACGCCAAAAAGCGCCCTACTTGGGTCTGCAACAAGTGTGCCGCCAGCAAGTGCGGCAAGTGCGGTCAAGCCCTGCCAAAGACAGCCAACGCAGACTCTTGGTGTGACAGCTGCGCCTTCCCGCCATGCCAGGGTGTGGACAAGCCCGTCCACGCAAAGGAGAGTGCCGCGCCAGAGTCTGTCCCAACTGGACTTGCAACCAGTGTGCCGCAAACACGTGCAGCCAATGCGGCGGAGGCATGCCAAAGACGGCCAAAGCAGACTCTTGGTGCAACAACTGCGCCTTCCCGCCATGCCAGGGCGGGTGTGGACTTGCCCGCCCGCGAGCGGGAGAGTATCGTGCCAGAGTGTGCCCCAACTGGACTTGCAACCAGTGTGCCGCAAACGCGTGCAGCCAATGCGGCGGAAGCTTGGCAAGGACGGCCAACGCAGACTCTTGGTGCAACAACTGCGCCTTCCCGCCATGCCAGGGGGGGTGGGCGAGCGCGCCCCCGCAGGGATGAGTACCGCGCCAGACGTTGGCCCTCCTGGGTGTGCCGTGAGTGCGCGCGCAAGCCAAGTGAGACTCCCGGCCAAAAGCGCCACAAGCAGGGCTGAGCTTCGACACAAGTCAGACAGGCCGGACCAAAGTTATGCTCAGGTTGCGCAGGGACTTGGCCGCACAAAGGAATTAAAACTCAAAAGCGAAGTTTCAAGGCAAGTGAGAAAAAAACTTCCAGCCACAGGAGCAGAGCCAGCCAGAACGTGGCTCCGGCCATGCGAGCATGCAGCTCGGCCCAAGCGTGCTGCTCGGACAAGCCTAGCTTGGAGCAAGCGTCATTATCGTTCAAGACGTGTTGGCGCGGCAGAAAGAAAAAGGCCGTGGCAAACATGTGTCACCCAAGTTGGGGCAAGGGGAAGTGCAGACCATGGGAATTTCCGGAGGATGCAGGTGCTGCCAGGATGTTGTCCACTACGGGCGCCCCCCCCCCCCCCCTCAAAAAACCGCTCGGGTTTTTGACTCCGCACGGAAAGTGTTTTAAAAAAAGAAGCCTCAATTTTCCAGACATTATCCAGCTGTTTTCCATGCATTTCCATCCTTTGTCCATGCTCTTACCGGCACATTTCCATGAAGTTTCCATCCATTTTCCAGACATTTGCGATCCATTTCCAGTCACCTTTCCCTTCATTTCCCCACACGTCCCTGAACGGCGTGGACAGCACCCCCTGCATCGACTGCATCATCCGAAGCAATGTCCGCCATGGATGCTCAATTGTTGCACTTGATTGCAATCCTTTTTCCATTCATTCCAGCAATGCATTTTCCAGGAACGCCCGGACAGCGGGAACGAAAAGGGAAAGGAATGCGAATAAACAATTCATGGGAAATGGCTGGATGGAATGGGCCGGAAAAAGGATGGACAAAAAGGATGCAAAATTGATGGAAATGAAGGGGCGTTGATGAAAAAAATGCGGGAACGGTTCCCGTCACGTTCTGCCCGTGCATTTTCCTGCATCTCGGTTTCTCTCCAGTGCCCTCTTCATTTTCGTGCAATTCCTTTGACTTCAGCCCCTTGTTTCGCATCGCCAGCATGCATAGCATCATCCGCATCATCCGGGATGATGCTGGCAATGCTGGGGGTGTTGTCCAGTATTAGGCACCCCCCAAAAATACTCGTTTTTGGATGCTGCGGGGAGATGCTACAAAAATCGCCTAAACCAATCCGCAAATCCTTCGCCCCTTATAAGGGAGGGCCCAGCATAAAACGTATGCGCATGGTCATGGCGGCACGGCTGAAGGTAAGCCCTAACGGGCTTTGGCCTGCGGCCCGATCACGTCCGGTGGCCGGATTTAAGGGCTGCCGCCCAGTGCCGCCGACCCCTTCAGTTGGACTGCATCACCAACAGTCATGATGATAATGATGACTACGCACCCTCTGCATCTCCAATCGGCTCTAACGGGACTTTTGAATCGTATATGAAAAAGATAAGGATCCTCATCATAGCCATGGCCCACGCACCCTCTGCATCTCCAATCGGCTAATCGTATATGAAAAAGATAAGGATCCTCATCATAGCCGTGGCCCATCATCGTCATCATCACGGTTATCATCATCGATGATAACCATCATTATGCATCCTCTGCATCACCAACAGTCATGATGATAATGATGACTACGCACCCTCTGCATCTCCAATCGGCTCTAACGGGACTTTTGAATCGTATATGAAAAAGATAAGGATCCTCATCATAGCCGTGGCCCATCATCGTCATCATCACGGTTATCATCATCGATGATAACCATCATTATGCATCCTCTGCATCACCAACAGTCATGATGATAATGATGACTACGCACCCTCTGCATCGTCATCATCGTTATCATCATCGATGATAACCATCATCGTGCATCCTCTGCATCACCAACAGTCATGATGATAACGATGACTACGCACCCTCTGCATCTCCAATCTCATCATCATGATAATCATGTCCACGCATCTTTTGCATCACCAATGGGCTCTAACGCCACACTTGAAATGTATACTATACAAAGACATGGCGACAACTACGTATCAGCACCACCAGCAGTTCTCTTGATAATCATGGCCGTCGCCCATCATCGTCATCATCACCGTTATCATCATCGATGACAACCATCATCGTGCATCCTCTGCATCACCAACAGTCATGATAACGATGACTACGCACCCTCTGCATCTCCAATCTCATCATCATGACAATCATGTCCACGCATCTTTGCATCACCAATGGGCTCTAACGCCACACTTGAAATGTATACTATACAAAGACATGGTGACGACTACGTATCAGCATCACCAGCAGTCCTCATGATAATCATGTCCACGCATGATGATGATGATGATGATGATGGTGGTGCTGATGATGATGGATGATGATGATGATGATGATGATGATGATGATGATGATGATGATGATGATGATAACTATCATCGTAGCATCCTCTGCATCTCCAATGGTGATGATAACTATCATCGTGGCAACGCATCCGCAGCACCCTTCCCGTGCGCCTCCCCCTTTCAGGAGCAGGGGTCGGCGGATTTTTATCTGAAATGCAAGGAGGCCTATCTGTGACTCCCTTTTCATAAAGGCGTTCCTTTTCGGCTTAGGCTCTCCTGCTCCGATCCCAACGCCCGGAAGCCCAACCAGGGCCTCCCGAGCAGGTCGAGTCGGGCTCCAGAAATTTCACCGAGATTTACTGGGACAAAGCCATTTGTAAGAATCGGTTGAACATTAGGTTCAACCATTTTTACTGTTCTTCTTCTTTTTTTTGTGATGTCACCATTTATATCAGGTTGAATCGAAACCATTCTATGGTTCATTTGGGAGCGACATGGGGGAAGTCGAAAGTAGGTGGCTTACTCGTTTTCTGGACTGTGGCTCTGGTTCCCCCCCATGACCTTTACACATTTTACAGCTGTCGAATTCGGGGATGAAGGCCTTTCATTGGGCCCGGGTGCTTTGGGAGACCAAAGGGCCACCTTAAGGGAAATGCCGAGAAGTGGGATTTAGTTGGAGCAATGTTTGGTTAGGAACAAAACACAATGTTTGGTTGTGAGGGATCTCCCAGCTTGATTTGAGACTTGTCACACGCCCAACTGGCATCTAACGAGCTAAGTGGGCTGATATCCCAAAGTGATCAGCTGTGATTTAAGTGGGCTGCAATCGGCATGGCGTGGACTTGTTTTTGTTTGGGGTTCTTTGGCTTGTGGGTTCTTCCTGTACTATGGTTGTTCTGGGGACGTCAGATTGCTTCAGCCGAACCCAAATCCGATCCAGACCACTTCGATATGTGTGTTCGCCTGTGCAAAGGGGCTGGTCCCCGTTTGTGTGTTGCCGGAAAGCTCCCCCTACATGAAAAATTAGCGGGAAGGCTTCCACTATCAATTTGTGCAGTTCCCTCAACCCTGCTTCGAGTTGCAACCCCAGCCAAGAGTCATTGCCACAACCCCAACAAGAACGTGGGCTTGCCTTCCTTTTGTGGTCTCAGTTGTCCAAGCTCACTTTTGACCCTTTGGTTTTCCTGTTTTGGCCTATTTATGGTCAAGGTCCATTGTGGCAATAAATTTTAAATGGTTGGAACTTGTGAACAGTGGTTGGTGGACAGGGCTGCCTTTGGAGGAAGCCAACACGCATGCCAAATCCAGCCCTTTTGATCAAGAAACGCTGGTACAACGTGTGCAACTGTGCCTCTTGCACATGCGGCTACCCCACCCCCCCACCCCCGGTTGATGCAGCATGTTGTTTCTGTTGAGGACCCGGACGACAACATCTGCAATCCCAAGTACGCCGGCCGCTGGACAAAAAGAAAAGTTCTTGCTTTGCTGTAGCTTCGTCATGTATAGTCTGGGGGTTAGTCAGCTGGAGAGCTCACGACAAGGTTGACTTCTCTGAGGGACTTTTAAGTATGATAAACCCTAGATAGGTGCCTAGAAGCTTCCCAAATGGGTTGAACGTCCACGTGGCTGGAGTCTCCCTTAGACCCTGACAAAGTGTGGTGCCCGTCCCCTGAAAATAACATGGAAAAACCCAAGGCTCGCAACATGTCACCCCAACGGGACACCCGCTTGCCAGCCCAACCAGAGGGACCTTTCGAACAGCTTAATTGTGTCACAGCGGTTTACAGTCAATCCGTCGCTCGTATGGACCCATCAAATATGCGCTTGGCGCTTGGCCCTTCAGATCTGTGGGTGTGATTTAGCTCGTCCCTTTAGCTTGCTCCTTGTTGATCCGTTTCATTCCTCTTGGTTCCTTGTATGATTTGTTGTTTCCGTTGTTTCGATTTGGACAATTCCTTTGCGTTGTTCCTTGTGTGTGTATTCCATTGTGGTTGTTCCTTTTTTCTTTGTATGCCTTCGTTGTTTTGTTCCTGGTTCCTTTAGTCGCTGGTAGCTCCTTTAGTTTGCGTGCTTGTTGCTTCCCCAACACTCCTCGACCAGCTTTCACAACCCTGCGCAGTGGTTCAAGATCAGAGGGATCATTCCTGTCATGTTCAAATCGGGAAACACAAGGAGGCCGGATCAAAATGTCCCATCGACCAAGCGATCAACATAATGTGTTTGTTCCTTGCCTTTGCTCCTCGCCTTTGATGGCCAAAAGTCAACGTTTCAAACCGATAGATACAAAAGTAAACCAACATGGTATTGGTAATTCTGAAAAGGACCCGCTATTTTACGGACAAGAATGGCAACACAGGTTGGACAACAGTACTGTGTTCCCATGCAACTTTCTTTCGAAGCAGATTTATCGTACCCCATATCTATTTCCAAAGCGGCTTTTGTCCCTTTTTTGACCGGTTCAAATATCATGTTTGGGGTTTGCACTGGTTTAGCGAGTTTTCTGGGCACACGCTTTGAGAGCGAAATCTTCAGATCTACTTGGATTCTACTCATGTCGTTGGACACTGTTTCTAGATGTGATCAAAGTCAGACACTTGAGGATGTCCCTTGAATCAATCTGCTCCCCGACCGGAGTCTGGCCCCCTCTGAAGGGAAACCAAAGGCTGTCTGCGTTTCACGATTCAAGCAACGGGTTTGACTTCCGTATTTCCTGGTGGCGAGTGACAAACCCATGTTAGGTTGCACGGGTTGCATTGTCATTCCGGTTATCCCACTTTGAATGGCCACGTGTTATGCAACTGAACCCTTTACTCAGCGCCTGTGTCCACCCGCAGCGGAAGTGTCATTGGGTCCATAGAAAGAAAAGCAACATTGGCATTGGTCAACCGGCAACCATACCTCAAGAAGCCACCGGGAGTTCGTAATGCCAAGGCCATGTCCAACACATGTGGTTTCGAGTAATTACGTGGGAAGGCAAAACCTGGTCTTGGACATGCCCCAAAACCAGTGTGGCAACAGCCTGTGTCCATGAAAGCGACAACCTCAAACCTAGCCGCATGGCGGCCATGGCGGTTTGACAAAGTTCCTCAGCCCCCCCCCCCCCACCACAAAAAAAAAGGGCAGGCCGAACCCGTTCGCCCCATTCGCCCCGTTCGCCCCGTTCTTCGCGAGGCACGGTGCTCAACAAGTGCCCCAAGCCTTGCACCCCGACAGAGGAGGCGGCAGGCAACAAGACCTGCATTCAGCGCCCCGGCGGCACGGCTTTTCTTTTCGTCTTTTGCTGCACGAAACACTGAGACGGTTTTGTGAAACAGCTGAATAATTGCACACATTTTCTTACAATCATAGCTAACAGCTTTTTGTTTGTTGTTTATCTAAGATTTATCTATATATTATATAATAATTGATTTCTTTATTTCTTTCTTTGGTGTTGATGTACCCCGCAACCCCCATTGTAAGTCTTGAGTCTTCAGGCCATAGAACCAAGCTGCTTCCGCTGGAGGCGGTTTGTAGTCAGGGCAAGCCTTTAAAGATATCCAAAAACAAGTTAGGGGAAGCGTTGTTGGGCGCTTTCTGCTGTTTAATGTGTCCCTAGGCTGCCTTATTTGCGATGGTATCTTCTTCCATCTGGGCTTTGGGCAAACAATAATGATGGTAGTCGATACCTAAGTCCAAGGATTGACCAAGAGGTTTGGTGGTCGTTCAAAGGGTTGATTACCATGGTTTCCTGGATATTTGCTGGGCCCTGCATCTTTAGCAAATGTCGTCAAGTACTGCCTTCGTGGTGCACTGGCGCCCCTGAATCATTTTCTTGGGAGCCATAGCTACTGTTTTGGTGGTGCGCACTGCATCTTGGCCGCAAACCGCATTGTGCAATCAGGGTTGATGACTGTCCTGACAGCGCCGGTTTCGAGTGGTGGTTTGGGCTCCGGAGATTCGGGAGCTGAAAATTCACGAATCATTCATATTTTAGAGGCAATCGGGAAAACCACCCTGAACTCGAACACACTATCCCAACCGAGCCTCCTCCACCCCCCGCCTTTCCTGGTTTCATTCGATCAACACCACAGAACCTTATGTATCTTATCTAAGAGGTGGGGTGTTTCCTGTAAAAACATTTGGGACCCCATACAGGCAGTTGGTTTTCCTTGCGGTTTCCCTTAGTCCGAAAGGGGGTTGCCTGTTTGCAAGGCCTCCAGTCCCTTGCTTTTCCAATCCATCTAGAGATTTCCCAATCCATCTGAGATTTTGAGACAGATTTCCTCATGGTCTCCCTAAACCTGTAAGGGTTTTGCCTCGTCCGCGACATGTTAGTCACAGTCAAATCACGGGTGAATGAAGGCTAGTAGGAGACAGTCCCAACCAGAAATAGCCGCCCTTCTGATTTGTTTTACTTCTTTTGTATGGGCCTTGGTAGACCACTTTTGTACGTAGCAGGCTTTCATTGTGGCCCATGTCTTCTTTGTTGTTTTTTTAATCCCAAGGACGCACCTCACCAACACCGGCACGTTCGAATCCGAGACCATCAGTGCCGCCCCCAAGGGTGGGTTTGAGCGCTCACAACCCCCCTCTGGCAATTTTAGCAGGTGGTTCACAGTCCACGGAGGTTCCACTGCCTGGTTTAGCAGTGATCATTGCTAGGCTTATGCGTATAAACCATCCATGACCATCTTAGTAGAGACATAAGTCAATGGTGGTTGGAATGGGCTGGGGCCCAAAAGCATCCGAATTGCCCAGTGGCTCGCTTCCTTTATTCAACTTGTTTGGAGAGGGTTTCCCTTTAACATCAAGTACCAAAAGGGTGCCACATCGGGCTTTCATTTTAGGGGAATGAAGTGCCGTTTTTTTCCGGACTGCTAAACAGGTGGGTTTTGCTTGTAGGTGTTTTCGCCATTTCGAGGCCTTTGACTGGCCCACTTGTTTGGCCAGGCCCGAACCGAAACGAAACCAGATCCCAGTTGTAGGCAACCAGCCGTTCGTTTAGTTTCTAGTGGATGGTTCCATTGGTTACCTGCTGAGGGAAATGCAATCACTAGGCACGTGCTGAGAAGGATTCTGGCCACTTGCGGGCCAATCCCACTTGACGTGCTTAGCATTTCGTCGGCGAAGCAAGGCTGCTCTGAAGCTCAAAATGAATCCACATCATTGGTCTGTCCTTTTGCTTTGCCAGCCCAGGTTCCTGTGCTTGCTTCTTGTCTCGGGTGAAACAAAAACACTTCACACCCCAACTTTGAACCTTCGGAGCACGTGAAGCTTGCCCTTTTGTTTCTTCGAGGGTTCCATGTTGGGTCGGGATTCCAGGACCCCGGAGAAATTGAACACGGGTTTGTCTGGAGCTATCCCAAAGGCACCAAGTGTGGGGTTTGATATGGTGTCAAAAAGAGACGACCCCTAGGGTGGCCTTCCTGGCTTCCCTTCAAACCGACCTGAAAAGGCTCAACGCATGACACACCTAGTCCCTAGCTGCCCCTTGCCCCATGGGTTTTCCACCTCGAACTTCGAGGCTGTCTGCCAGCTGCCTCCTGCACTCCGGGCAGGAACATGAAGAAGTGCCGGGCCCTCGGCGAAGCGAAAGCGCGAAGCGGATCGGACGGGCGACAGGACGGCCGACAGCAAATGGGGGCGGGGTTTGCAAAATTGTGAGCCCCCTTTTAGGTTGCTTGAGAAAAGGCTACAAGACATATTGGGGGCTCATGGGAATTATTTTGATTTATTTATATTATAAATCGTTTGTTCTTTCTTCTGTTCTTTTTTTTTGGCGGGGGGCGGGGGTGATGGAAGGGAAACGACATGGGGTTTGGAAGGGAACACTTTTGCAGTGGAAGCGAAAGGGAAGACGCAGGGTTTCAAGTTCTATCAGAGCCGTTTCGTGATTCACTCTTGCTGGGTCCGAATTCTGGTGTAAGGTCAGAATTGCTGGGGTTGTTTCTCTTTGAGCCACTGTGGTGACAACGAAAATTGCAAAATCATGGCCAGTGTGAGGGGTGTTTCAAAGGGAAACCGAAGGGAGACAAGAGAGCTGTTTCTCAAGCCGTTGGCTTGGTTGTTCCTGTTTGGGGCAAAGGGACCAATTGGATGTTTGTTTCGGGCAGGGGTCCGAGCCACTCCCACAGGAGGGCAGACCATGGGTTTGTTCTTCAGTTTTGCTGGGACCGAGTTTCTACCCTGCCGCAATTGTTGTTGGAGCAATGTGGGGATTGGCACCATTTAGCGGGTAGAGCATGTGAGCAACAAGCGATATGTACTGTCATTTACTGTCATGAGTCATGTTCTGTAGCAAAGGAGGTGACATGCGTGGCACTCACCAAATTGCGATTAGGACATGTTTGAATTGTGGTGCAAAGAGTTTCAGGGGAACCAACTTGTGGTGTTGTTGCAGGCTGGAACATGGGTTTTCCCCCATGGTACCTGGGTGAATTATCACGACCTCACACGACCTCACCCCACATGGTGGTTTATGTGGGGAATAGCCCCCCAATCACCTTATTTCAGGTTGGTGAACAATCATACTTCACTCAGCTGGTACCCACGTACCAGGCAGGAAAGGCATGGTTCCTGTCAAACCTACACTCGCATTCCTTTTGTTCAGTTGGGAATCTCTTTTGAAGAAACCCCAAAGGACCATCGAGCCGCTCGAGCCCCACCTTAGTGACTCAAATTGGAGACCTCTTAATGAACTTTACTCAGGTGAGTTGATATGTAAGGGAAAGACGTTGACATGTCACCATGCTTCTCGGAAGTGGAGGCTACTCGCCGAGATGCAAGGTCGTTGGGGCAAACAATATATATGGTACTCACGGAGGGGGGTTGTCTCCTAGACTTTGCATGTGGGTGACATGTCAACCACATGTTTAGGCAACTCCTTAATCCTTAATGACAATCCTTACCTTGGAGGGGTGGCTTTTGAACAGGGATTATGGATTAGGATTGGCCAACACAGCATTTGGAACAAGGGGTTATGCTTTTCCTTACCACCCACTGGACGCCCGATGACGGTGACCTTTCTGGCTTACAAACGGATCTAGCTTGGCCTGGCGCCTTGCTCGCGAGTTTTCGCGTGTTCAAACCACGGGCCCATGAAGCTCCTTTAGAGGATCCATTCTTTCCGTTTGGTGATCATCTCTTTTGCCCAGGATCTTGCATCTCTCTTGTGATGGCTCCCCCAGTCTTGCCTCTCAAGAGCAAACAAGGGCAAGGGGCTGGCTGTTGACAATGGATCCGAGAGCGGTCTCAACCTCAAGGGCCCTTACCTTTTCAGGAGAAGCTTAGACCAACCTAAGACTTAGACCCCTCAAAGCAATTCTGAAAGACACCCTCAGTTTTTGTCGCTGAACAAAGAATAGCTTGCTTGTTGGGCACGGTAAGGCAACATAAGGTAACCACTTTGTGGTTCTTGGGGTTTGACCTGTTGGTTCATGAGAGCAAATGGGACCCCCGGAACACCTCACCAATGCAAGTGAGAGGGAAGCTGAAACTGAGGAAGAGGCAAAGCCCTTTGCTTGACGACACATCCAAACAAGTTCGTGGTTTGCGCTTTTACGGTTGCCCTTTTCAGGTTCAACCCTGGACAATGCGCAGGTTTTTGCGCTTTTGAGGTTACCCTCTTCAGGTTCAACCCGGAAAAATGGGTGATTTGTCCCTTCAGTTCACCTCAGAACACCCCGCCAAGCGCGCCGAGCACCTCTGGCTCTTTGGCCCCCGAGGCACCTCGGGCTCCACCATCCCGGCCTGGAAGCCCTGCAAGGCGACGGAACCGCGCGGCGAACCCAT